CACACACACACATACACACACACACACACACCCATACACACAACACACACACACACATACACACACGCACACAAATACACACACACACACACACACAAATACACACACACACACAACACACCACCCACACACACACACACACACACACACACACACACACACACACACACACACACACACACACACACACACACACACACACACACACACACACACACGCGCCTCTGCAGCCTTGGCGGACTGGCAGGTGAATAAAAAGTATCCCTGGACGACCGAGCTTCATTTCCAGCGGCAGCCCAGTGAAAGGCACGCCTTGCTGGGGGCCCTAAGCCCTAAACCCTCAGCGACTTGGGAACGGCTTGGGATTGGCAGGGCCTCATGAGTAACCCCGAAGCCCCCTTTTAAAACTGTAAACCTCACCCTGAACCCTCTCCTACCTTCGCATCGGCAACCAACCCAATCGGCACCAACCCTAATGCAATTCCGAACAAGTGGTTATCAACCCTAGGGCAATTCCGAATTCAGGGTTCTAGGGTTCCAGGGTTTCAGGGCAAGGCCATCGGGCTTTTAGGGTTCAGGGTTCAAGGCTCGGGTGTGGAGCTGAATTTTGAGCTTCAGGGCCAAGGTTAGGTTTAGGGTTCATGGAAAAATGTGTTGTTGTTATGTGCCTTGTCGTGTGTAAGGAAAAAACAAGTCCGTACGTTGTTTTGTGGGATTCTGGGTGTTCTTTTCCGCTACACGAACACAATCGCGAGCCCCAGTGCAAGTAGAGGTTCGCGAATCAGGGTTCAGAGTTTAGGCACAGGAAACACATGGACTTCTTGTATGAAATCAGCGTTTCGCCTAGATGACACGCATACTCTTCCAACATGTCTCGGAAGCACGCTAAAAACATGTGTGGTTCTGCAGTCGCCAGCTCATATAAGGCCCAATAGGGTTTTTGGTTTAGGTTCGTTTGGGATTCGAGTCGGGGCCTCATGAACCCCCCGCCCGGTCCCATCTTGCAGCATCCCTAAGCCCTCATTCAGCCCTAAGGCTAAACCCTAAACCCAGAATCTTTACGAGCCCAAAAAACTCTAAACCTCTAAACCCTAAGCCCTAAACCCTAAGCCCTAAACCCTAAACCCCAGGTATTTTAGGGCTTCTAGGTCTTAAAACCCTAATAAAACCTGCGAGGCCGGCTCAGTGGATGCTGCGCAAACCCCCAGGTTTTTTGGTGGGCTGCGGTTGGGATGTTCCCCCGTATATTAGCAGCCCTTAATAAAACCCTAAACCCTAAACCCTAGGCCCTAAACCCTAAGCCTTAAACCCTAAATCATAAATGTGAAGCCCTAAACCCTAAGCCCTAAACCCTAGACCCTAAACCCCAGGTATTTTGGGGCTTCTAGGTCTTTTTTGCAAGCGGAACGCAGTAGAGGCCTCCAAGACCCCAGTCAAGCCCGCTGGGCGCAGGTGCGAGAAGGCCAACTTCACGAGCTGCCCGGACAACAGGCCTTAGGGTTTAGGGTTTAGGGTTTAGGGTTTAGGGTTTAGGGTTTAAGGTTTAGGTTTGCTTGGAGGTTCATGGTACCTTTTAAACCAATTATAACTGTACTCATAACCCACTTGTAAGCCCCTTAAGTGCCCCAATCTGGTTATAAGTGCGGTTATAAGTACAGTTATGATTGGTTAGTAAGTAGCATGAACCGCCAAGTAGGGTTTAGGGTTTAGGGTTTAGGGTTTAGGGTTTAGGGTTTAGGGTTTGGGTTTAGGCTTAGGGTTTAGGTTCAGGGTTCAGGGTTTAGGGCATCGGGCTTCGAAGCATTCTGCTTGCGGATCAGCCCCCCCAAGCTTCGGACCTGGCAGACCGGAAGGTTTATGGTTTACTTTTTTCCTTTTTTTTTCGCGGCCCGTTAGCCCCTAAATCCTAACCCCCAAACCTTCGGCGGTCTCCATAAACTAAGGCCCGGATATCCCACGGCTTGGCATGCAGTGTTATGGGATTCACGCGGTAAACGGGTTGCAGGGTTGCAGGTTAAGGGTGTCAGGGTCTTAGGGGGTTTCGGGTTTCAGGGTTTCAGGGTTTCAGGGTTTCAGGGTTTCAGGGTTTCAGGGTTTCAGGGTTTCAGGGTTTCAGGGTTTCAGGGTTTCAGGGTTTCAGGGTTTCAGGGTTTCACGGTTTCACGGTTTCACGGTTTCACGGTTTCACGGTTTCACGGTTTCACGGTTTCACGGTTTCACGGTTTCACGGTTCCAGGATTTCGGGTGCCCTCAAAGAACCAGAACACTGGGAGTTTGAGGAGAAACCTAAACAAAGCAGGGTTCAGGGTTTAGGGTTTAGGGTTTAGGGTTTAGGGTTTAGGGTTCGGGGTTCGGGGTTCAGGTAGGGTTCAGGGGTTGGTTGTTGAGTGATCCGAGAGAAGTACCGACGAAAGCTTCGCGCACTATTGCTGTGAAAGACCATGGTTAAGAAAAGAGAGTTAGATCATGGTCGTTGTAATTCCCTTGTACGGATGTATGTGCTATGTATACATATGATAGCAGATATATAGCGACGTGTATTGTGGCCGCTTCCTTAAGCGCAAGTCCTGGAAGAGGTGCTTGGTGAAGGCGATCCTCTACTTTTATGGGCGGCTCACAGGTATCGCGGCTGTGTTTTAAAGCGCGAAGCCCGAAACCCCAAACCCCAAACCCAAACCCAAAGCCCTATGCCCTGAACCGTAACCCCAAACCTCAAACCCGTTTTGGGTGCAAGGTTCCTCCACGGCTTTGAGCTTCGGCTAAAGGTCTCGGACTTCTATAAGAAGCCTGAACCCCGACCCTAAACCCCAACCCTGTTTTTTGCTGAAAGTGTTCGGCTTGGGAGGTTGTGAGGCTTTTCTAGGATCGAGCCTTCAGGGCTTCAGGGCTTTGGCAGCTGAAAGATTTTGCGCTTAGGGCCTAAGGGTTTCTTGGGTGTACTGGTTAGGAGGTTTAATACTCTTAAGCCTAAACCCTAAGCACCGAACCCCCTACGCCCTGAACCCTGAACCCTCAACCCGATGTTGCTTCGAAGTTCAATACTCAAGCCCTCCGAGGGCAGGGAAATCTTGAATCTGAGCCGACCATCGGCTTGGACCACTCTCTCAGAAGTCTGACACCCCAAAACCCGAGGCCGGAAGAGGGGTTTAGGCCTTAGAGTTTATGTAGGGTTGAAGTACCCCAAACCCCAAACCCCAAACCCCAAACCCCAAACCCCAAACCCCAAACCCCAAACCCCAAACCCCAAACCCCAAACCCCAAACCCCAAACCCCTAAACCCCTAAACCCCTAAACCCCTAAATCCTCAACTCACACCACCACAATGCCCCTGGCCCTCACAAGCCGTAGGGCTGCAGCGAAATCCTGACATGCCATCTTAGGCCAAACCTCCCCTCCCCCCAACAAGAGCCCTAGACTAAAAGGGTTTAGGGTTTAGCGTTTAGGGTTTAGGGCTTGGGGGGGGGGGGGGGGTACTTTAAAACCCTACCAAACCCCAAACCCTGAACGCCTCCTCGACCCTAACCCTACACCCTTAACCCGCAACCCCTTCAATTGAACCCTGAGCCCCACGCCCTGAGCCGTGACCATCCTGAACCCTAGAGAACCAGAAGCCCAATTCCCCCGAACCCGAAAAGCCATAAGTAATCCCTAAAGCCCTGCACTCTAGGCCCCAAACCCCAAACCCCAAACCCTAAACCTAAACCCCAAACCCCAAGCCCTAAACCCTAAACCCTAAACCCTAAACCCTAAACCCTAAAAACCCTAAACCCTATAAACCCTAAACCCTAAACCCTAAACCCTAAACCCTAAACCCTAAACCCTAAACCCTAAACCCTAAACCCTAAACCCTAAACCCTAAACCCTAAACCCTAAACCCTAAACCCTAACCTAAACCCTAAACCCTAAACCCTAAACCCTAAACCCTAAACCCTAAACCCTAAACCCTAAACCCTAAACCCTAAACCCTAAACCCTAAACCCTAAACCCTAAACCCTAAACCCTAAACCCTAAACCCTAAACCCTAAACCCAGCCAAAGCCGAACGGCCTTGCCGGGAGGCAAGGACCTCGTGGAGCTTAAGTGGCGCTGGCCTCAACGTCATAGGACCCCCTAAACCCCAAACCCCAAACCCTAAACCCTAAACCCCAAACCCTAAACCCCAAACCCTAAACCCCAAACCCTAAACCCGAAACCCTAAACCCTAAACCCTAAACCCTCAACCCTAAACCCCACCTCCCTTTGGGGACGCGTAGCCATAGGAGGAGGGTGAGCCGAGTCAGTGGTGAAGCCCCGGGCCTGCTCAAGCCGATGAGTCGGTGTGGGTTCAGGGTCCCATGGGTTTAGGGTTTAGGGTTTAGGGTTTAGGGTTTAGGCCTTAGGGTTCGGAACTTCCCAAAGTGATAAGCCCTAAGCTGTGACTTGCACAAGGGTAGACATTCCCTGATCTTACAAGGGGTGCCGGACTTCTATGCGGCTGCTCGATAGGGAGCTGAAAGCCTTTGAAAGCCTCTGGGGGTCGGCCGAATGATTCGTAAGGGGGCCCTCGGACATATTGGGCGGGTCAGGCGACCCCCCCTTTAAAGATACGCTTTCTTGCATGGTGAGAATACTTCGAGAGGGCTTAGGGCTCCACGGGGGACACAGGCAAGAGGCTGACACGTGAGGCTTGGCGGTTCGGGTTCTAGGCTTGTATCGGGTTTGCCTAACCTTAAGTTCCTAAGTCCCAAACCCGGAGCCCGCTGAAGGCCGGACGGCGTCAAGCTGACGGACGCCGACTGTGTCAAGTACCTCATCAACTTGATGGGGGACACCCGCAGGGAACTTGTCACCTAAACCCTAAACTCTAAACCCTAAGACCCTAAACCTAGGCCCTAAAACCTCCGCCCCCCCCGCCCCCCTCAGCAGACCCCCTCCTGGTGGCCAGCAATTTTGCAAGCGGCAACAATTTTCCCAAGATTTCTTGGCCCTCTTCTGTGGAGCCTCTCTTCCCCCCTCCCCTCCCCGTCTCAAGGCCAAGATGCAGGGGATTGGCGGTGGGTCGAACAACTAAAATGTTTTCCTACTTTTGTGGGATCCGAAGGGTGGGTGGGTAGATATTCGATACCAGAGTAGCGGGCTTGACTCGTGAATGCTTGGACTTGAGATGCTGAAACCGCTCTTAGCGAGCTACCCATATGCTCCTCAACTCCGAAAATCCAGCACTATAAACTTGGGGGGTTGGGTTTAGGGTTTAGGGTTTAGGGTTTAGGGTTTAGGGTTTAGGGTTTAGGGTTTAGGGTTTAGGGTTTAGGGTTTAGGGTTTAGGGTTTAGGGTTTAGGGTTTAGGGTTTAGGGTTTAGGGTTTAGGGTTTAGGGTTTAGGGTTTAGGGTTTAGGGTTTAGGGTTTAGGGTTTAGGGTTTAGGATCTAGGGTTTGGGGTTTAGGGTTTAGGGTTTAGGTTTTAAGGTTTTAGGGTTTGAACTTGGGGGTTGGGTTTAGGAGTGTAGGTTTTTAGACTTGAGGGCTTGGGACTTTTTTTGCATCCCCAAGAGGCCCGGCACCTCAGCTCCCCCAAACTAGGTTTTAGGGTTTAGGGTTTAGGGTTTAGGGTTTTGGGTTGGGGGCTTAGGGGAAGGCGTCGGGATTTAGAGCGAGCAGCTACCGTGGAATCTCAATCCTTCCCCCAAAACCTTCCCCCAAAACCTTCAATGAACCTCCAAGTATACCCAATTGTCCAAAGTGAACCCTAAACCCTAAACCCTAAACCCTAAACCCTAAACCCTAAACCCTAAACCCTAAACCCTAAACCCTAAACCCTAAACCCTAAACCCTAAACCACCATAAACTCCAAAAAAGAATCCACACCCACACGCCGCAGGACATGGCCCAGCCGATGCATTTCGGCACCGCGGAAACCGACATGGGCCGCAACATCACGGTGGCCGTTAGGGAACCCCAAGCCCTAAGCCCTAAGCCCTAAACCCTAAACCCTAAACCCTAAGCCCTAAACCCTAAACCCTAAACCCTAAACCCCATGGGGACTCCACCTTGGAGCCCCTTCAGGATCCTCCAAGGGAATATAACGGTCACATTAGGAGTTTACTAAGGGAAGCTCTTAAGGGAATATAACGGTCATATTAGGAGTTTACTAAGGGAAGCTCTTAAGGGTACAACCGAGATGACAGCGCGAAACTCGAGCCCGAATCGCGAGGTTCCACCAGGAACTGGTATGGGGGTTCACGATATTAGGGGCGCCTTATTGGGGGTTCTTATTATAAGGGGATCCTATAATATTTGTGGGTCTACATAGCTTATATCAGGGGTCCCGTATTTCCGCAAACCCCCATGTCTTACAAGACGGGGCCTCTTCACCGATGTCTTAGCAAGCAAATGTCGCGTTAAGTCCTGGTTGAAAAAGAAAGTTCCAGTGTCGTGACAAGGCCTGGGTTGGGATGATGGGTTTAGGGTTTGGGGTTTAGGGTTTAGGGTTTAGGGTTTAGGGTTTAGGGTTTAGGGTTTAGGCTTTAGGGTTTAGGGATTCCCCACATTCATGTACACACGTTGCGACATCGGGGTGGGAGCGCATGATCACATCAACTTCTTCCTGCTACTGGAAGAAGACACCAAAACCAACTGGGACCAACTTGGAGCAAGAGACGCCGGATTGAACGGGGACTCAGCAGACCCCTGTAAACCCACCCAAAACCCTATTTGGTATGGTTTGTGGGTGCCTAATTCCATCATAGTACTGTGCTACAGATGGACTCTCTGGGTTTGTTATCAGCAAGAAGGGCGACTAACCCGAAATGCCCTGAGCCCCATACAGCCGAAAAGCCTGAACCCGCAGGCCGAGCTTGAGAGACCACCAAAATGGGGGCCTAAACCCTAAACCCTAAACCCTAAACCCAAACCCTAAACCCTAAACCCTAAACCCTAAACCCTAAACCCTAAACCCTAAACCCTAAACCCTAAACCCTAAACCCTAAACCCTAAACCCTAAACCCTAAACCCTAAGCCCTAAACCCTAAACCCTGAACCCGATAGGGATGCCTTTTTTGGGGGGTCCCTTTAAAGGGGGTTCTATCCTATTTGAGGAAGAAAGAGGGGCACCGTGGGATGCTCACCCGTTATCTAGCAGTCCTTAAACGGGATAGTAGTTGGGGGGTACTATAATCCCAGGACTCTAGACCCTAAACCCTAAACCCTAAACCCTAAACCTTAAACCCTAGACCCTAAGCCTTAAATTCCCTCAACCTTAAATTCCCTTAACCTCAATAGGACTGTTAGCATAAGGGAGAACCATCCCAGGGGGCACCCCCCTATTTTGGGAAACATACCAAAGTGGTGGCGCTTTCTTGGCCAGGTGCTGTTTCGTGGCAAGACCACCAACCTGTATGATGCCCGGCCCTCAGGTTCCCAGAGAGTTTAGGGTTTAGGGTTTGGGGTTTTGGGGTTTGGGGTTTTGGGGTTTAGGAAACGTCAGGGTCTAGGAAATGTCAACCCTAAACCCTAGGGTTGTAGGGTTTAGGGTTTTAGGGTTTAGGCAAACCCAGGAGCCCAAAGCCCGAAGCTGTAACCTCAAACCATTTAGGCCCTTATAAGCCCTAAACCCTAAACCCTAAATTCTAAACCCTAATCCGGGTGAACCCAAAAAGGGCATAAACCCAAAGCCCTCATCGTTCTTAGAGGCTGGGGCCAACCGGGATCTCGGCGAGGTCGAGCCTCATCTCGAGGTTTAGGGTCTAGGGTTTAGGGTTTAGGGTTTCGGGATTAGGGTTTCGGGTTTCGGGTTTACCCTTAACCCTGAACGGTGAACTCACATCTGGCGGCTTTCAAGTCTTCGCTGGGTTGAATCATGATATGCACTTGGGAGGAGCACGGTCAACAATATTTGGCATGGGCATCACCTCTATACAGATATACATATATGTATGTATGTATGTATGTATGTATGTATGTATGTATGTATGTATGTATGTATGTATGTATGTATGTATGTATGTATGTATGTATGTATATGCATACATATATATATATATATCCAGGTATAAAATATAAACATGAGCACGTGCACACACACACACATATATATATATATATATGTATGTATGCATGTATATATACACATACAGATTATAGCCATGAAAGCTATATATATATATATGTATATGTATATGTATATATTTATATAACGTGCCACATATAGTCTACACTATCTTATATACCATATATATATATACAGGTCTATATAGAGATAGATTTATATGTATAGTTACAGATAGATCGATCGATAGATACGTATATTATCTGACAATGATGACCTCTCGAACCAACTAGGGCTGCGGCGCCGCTAGGGGGCGAAGCTCGTTGCAACCTGGGGAGTTTATCTCGAGTCACACTCCGCTTTGAAGGCCCTAAACCCTAAACCCTAAACCCTAAACCCTAAACCCTAAACCCTAAACCCTAAACCCTAAACCCTAAACCCTAAACCCTAAACCCTAAACCCTAAACCCTAAACGCTAAACGCTAAACGCTAAACGCTAAACGCTAAACCCCTAACCGAAAACCCTAAAACCCTAAAACCCTAAAACCCTAAACCCTAAACCCTAAACGCTAAACGCGAAACGCTAAACGCGAAACGCTAAACGCTAAACTCCTAACCCTAAACCCTAAGCCCTAAACCCTAAACCCTAAGCCCTAAACCCTAAACCCTAAACCCTAAATAGGGGTCTTGAGGTTGGGCCATCAGGGCTTGGAACTGTCAGAATTCGACCGCTCGAGCTTAGGGTTTATAGGGCTTATAGGGTTTACAGGGTTTATAGGGTTTATAGGGTTCATAGGGTTTATAGGGTTTGGAGGGTCTGTAGGGCTTGTAGGGTTTGTAGGGTTTAGAGGGTTTAGAGGGTTTATAGGGTTTTTAGGGTTTGCAGGGTTTAGGGAGTTTGGGGCTTGCATGTCCGGCGCCGAAGGTCTGGGACAAGGACATCACTCAGGCCTGACGGCCGAGCAGACGGGTGTCGACTCAGGGCCACGGGCTATGAATTTACCCTAACCCCCCAAGCTCTAAACCCTAAGCCCTAAGCCACTAACCCTAAACCCTAAATCCTAAACCCTAAACCCCGTTTCTGGGGTTTAATGAGGGCTTTATCGGGCTGATGGGCACAGGTTTGTGCCCTCTTTTTTTTTGCGGGGGGGAGGGGGGGGGGGTTAGGGTTGCTTGTGGGGTCTCTAAGGTGTGATTTGAGGGCGCTGCAGGCTGAGGACCACAGGTTTTTGGGGGGGTTAGGGTGCAGAGGGTCCCTAGACTCTAAACCCTAGAGCCTATTAGGGTTTGTGGGGGGTTCAGGGTGCAGCGGTTTTCAAATTGTATCTTCACTTTTGACAACCGTGTGCAGATGATTGTGAGAACGAGAGGGCGACGACTCACTGACTCACCTCAAACCAGCAACAAAGACAAAGACCCTAAACCCTAAACCCTAAACCCTAAACCCTAAACCCTAAGCCAAAAAGCCCTAAGCCCTAAGCCCTAAGCCCTAAACCCTAAACCCTAAACCCTAAACCCTAAAGACCCTTTTCTCATGCTCGTTCTACCTTTTGTCTTGTGATCGAGGTGTGTTAATGCCCAGGCATCCGCAAACCCTGAGCCCTGAAATCCTACCCTAAACCCTAAACCCGGCTTGATTTGGAAAGGCGGGGGAGGTGAATCAGCGGACGACCCCGCAAGTTAGGGTGTACTATAGGGGCCTTAATGATTAGAAGAGGGTTTTGGGGGTTAGTCTAGTATGCCTATAAAAGGGACCATAAGGGAATACCAGTAGTAATTATTCCGACCCCCATAGTAGGGTGTAGCGTGAAGAGCCCAGGGCTAAGGGTCTGGTTTAGGGAGGGTCGAGAGTCGAAGGGGAAACGCTGTGTCTTGTGTGTTGGGAATTTGGGGGGGCAGCCGGGAGCTGCATTTGGAAGGTTCTTTTTTGCAGGTGGAACAGAAACCCTAAACCCTAAACCCTAAACCCTAAACCCTAAACCCTAAACCCTAAACCCTAAACCCTAAACCCCAAACCCTAAACCCTAAACCCTAAACCCTAAACCCTAAACCCTAAGCCGCTGCAACGCCCCAAGAGGCCGTGATCAAAGACTCACCGGGCTTCTGGTGGGGCGGCTGGACGCATGTACAGCGGACGAGGGTCGAGTGCCCCTGGGGGGAGGGGTTTGGGGTTTAGGGTTTATGGTTTAGGGTTTAGGGTGGGATGGGTTGAGGGTTCAGGGCGGATATCGGACCTCGATGCTCAACCCGACGACCGATGACCGATTGCTTTAACCCTCAATTCTAAACTACCAGATAGCTTGGGAGATTGGGCTTTCTTGGTGCGTGGAAGCCATGTCGACTGTCCTTAGGCTGCTAGGCACCTCCGAGAGGGCAACCACTGACCATCTTTTGTTTTGATCTTTCTAAACCCTAAACCCTAAACCCGAAACCCTCAACCCTCAACCCTAAACCCTCAACCCTAAACCCAGGAGGAGCTGGAAAATGTTTTCATGAGGAACAGGGAAGCTTCATGTTTTGTAGGGTGCTTCAGGACGGTCAAGTGTATGCAGGTACGAGAAGGACAGCGAGCAGTTCAAGCAGGAGTTTCGGAAGCCTGCAGCTGGTACAACTCTCTTTTGTTGACTTGTGCCTTTTGACTGGTACCTTCGTGTAGGGCTGACTCGCATTCCTTGTTTTGGGGGTTCTGATTGTTTCGAAGGACACCCTAATTCAACTGGGGTGCATCGAAAAGGGGGACCCCAATCTGAAGGAGTGCCAGATATCCTGGTCTCGGGCTTTGTGGCGGCTTATCTGGGCCCTAGGGTCTAGGTAAGGGTTTCCTGCCAGAGCTCGGGGACCTCTTCTTGCAGGCTGCTTACAGCGGGGTTCGCAAGGCAGGCCTTACTTCAGGCTGTCCGGTATGTAGGGTTCAGGGCTTAATTCGGTCAAGGAGGCCCATGGTACCGAGTGGGGTACTGTTTTCATTGTGCTGAAGTAGGAGCGCTTCCTTCGTTGAGCTCTAGCAACCTCTGACCTAAGCCTTATTCCCTTAACCGACGTTAGCTTTCCAGACCCTGCAGTGGCGAAGCCACAAAATCGGGAGGAGCCCAATACTACTTAATCATCGCATACATCTTAAATTCGGTTACAGCTTAAGGCATGTTCCTTGAGTAAGGGGCTCTCCTAAACCCTAAACCCTAAACCCTAAACCCTAAACCCTAAACCCTAAACCCTAAACCCTAAACCCTAAACCCTAAACCCTAAAGCCTAAAGCCTAAAGCCTAAAGCCTAAAGCCTAAAGCCTAAAGCCTAAAGCCTAAAGCCTAAAGCCTAAACCCTTCTCCTGGTATCGGGCTCACTGGGACATTGGAGGAGCACGAAGTGCTTCTGAAGCGCTGGGCCGACGAGTCCGCCAAGTTCATGTGCGAGAGCGTGTATAGGAGCCATGTTAGGGTTTAGGGTTTAGGGTTTAGGGTTTAGGGTGTAGGGTTTAGGGTTTGGGGTTTAGGGTTTAGGGTTTAGGGTTTAGGGTTTAGGGTTTAGGGTTTAGGGTTCAGGGTTTAGGGTTTAGGGTTTAGGGCTGGTTCTTGGTAGGGAATGAGGGAAATTAGGGCCCTACATATACCCTTTAAAAGATGATACGGGGCCCTAATTCCCTCATTCCCTGCTAAGAACCAGGGGGTTTAGGGGTGTCGGGTTCAGGGTTTACCTCAGGAACCCAGAACCTACTTTTTGGCAGGTTGTTACTATGAAATCCCCCTTAGGGGGGTTTAGGGTTTAGGGTTTAGGGTTGTAGGTCTTGGGTTCTCAAGGTAGGGTAGGGAGGAAGAATTCCTATCAAAACAGAAATAGTTCTGCTTCTCACTTGAGGAAGGAAGGAGTCTGGGGAGCCCCACCCCTAAACTCTTCAACCCTCAATTTAGAGTTTAGGGTTTAGGGTTTAGGGCTTCGGGAACCCTAAGCCCTAACTAAACCCCTTGATGGGGCCTCGGTTCGCAGTAGGATTGGAGGTGTTACGCTCATGCGCTTTAGCGGCTTTCGAGGGGTAGCATGTCCCACGAATCTGGCACAGCCCTAAACTCCAAACCCCTAAGCCCTAAGCCCCTACCTAGACCCTAAACCCTAAACCCCAAACCCTAAACCCTAAACCCCAAACTGCAAAGAATTGCGAGGAATCCGGTCACTGGGAAGCAGATCTTGGAAGAGCTAGATGCGAAAGGCGTCTTCAGGCGCGCCGGATTTTGTCTTCATTGGCCTATGTAGCGTTTAGGATTTAGGGTTTAGAGTTTAGGGGTTAGGGGTTAGGATGTAGGATTACGTCTCCGTAATGTACAGCCAGTTGTGTTACATCCTGTTCATGTCAACAGCAGAGCTACCATAATCTGT